CTCCTACAGCTGCTGCCGTTGTTGTTGCTTGCTTTGTCTGCTTGTTTGTTGGCTGTGCGTCTCTTGGTCCTGCTGCTGCTGCTGCCCTAAGGTCCTAGGGTTTTCGGTGGGGGGCGGGTGCGTGTGCCCAGTGGGCCACGTCCGCCTCCTACCGCTGCCCCTGCTGTCGTTTGCTGCTGCTGCTGCTGCTGCTGCTGCTGCTCTAAGGTCCTCGGTGGGAGTGCGGGTGCGGGTGCTCAGCGGGCCACGTCCGCCTCCTACCGCTGCTCTTGCTGTCGTTTGCTTTGTTTGGTCTTTTGTTTCTTTCTTCCTTCCCTGTGGTTGTGCTTTCCGTTGGTGCTGGTTGGTTGTCTTTGCGTCTGTTGTCCCTGGTCATGCTGCTGCTGCTGCTGTTGCCGCGGATGCTGCTGCTCTAAGGTCCTCGGTGGGGGGCGGGTGCGTGTGCCCAGCGGGCCACGTCCGCCTCCTACCGCTGCCCCTGCTGTCGTTTGCTGCTGCTGCTGCTGTTACCGCGGCTGCTGCTGCTGCTGCTCTAAGGTCCTCGGTGGAGGGGCGGGTGCGTGTGCTCAGCGGGCCACGTCCGCCCTCTACCTCTGCTCCTGCTGTCGTTTGCTGCTGCTGCTGCTGCTGTTACCGCGGCTGCTGCTGCTCTAAGGTCCTCGGTGGGGGGCGGGTGCGTGTGCCCAGCGGGCCACGTCCGCCCTCTACCTCTGCTCCTGCTGTCGCTTGCTTTGTTTCGGTCTTTGGTTTCTTTCTTCCTTTTCTGTGGTTGTGCTTTCCGTTGGTGCTGGTTGGTTGTCTTTGCGTCTGTTGTCCTTGGTCCTGCTGCCGCTGCTGGTGCCGTGGATGCTGCTGCTCTAAGGTCCTCGGTGGGGGGCGGGTGCGTGTGCCCAGCGGGCCACGTCCGCCTCCTACCGCTGCCCCTTCTGTCGTTTGCTGCTGCTGCTGCTGCTGTTGCTGCGGCTGCTGCTGCTCTAAGGTCCTCGGTGGGGGGCGGGTGCGTGTGCCCAGCGGGCCACGTCCGCCTCCTTCCGCTGCCCCTGCTGTCGTTTTTCTTTGTTGTCTTCTTGTTTGTTGTGCCCTTTTGTCTTCTCCGTGGTTGTGCCTTCTGTTGGGGGCCTCTGTGTCCCCCTGTTTTTGTTGGTGCTTGCGCTGCCACTGCCCCTAAGGTCAGTTATCTTTGCTCTCTTGCGGCTGATGCTTCCGGGACCGGAAGGGCTCTGATCCATTTGAAATCCATTTGACAGGTGAATCGAATTTTTGGCTCTTACTGTGGCTTTCTGTGTAGCTCTGCGGCCTTAGGGGGTGAGTAAGCCGACCCGATGCCATGCCCCGTAGCACTCCAGGCCTCAAGATGCCGTCCACTCCTGAAAGAGATCAAATGTGCAGATCTTTGAAGGCTTGGTGCACCAGTCGGGGCGCGCAGCTACGCGACTCACAAGAGTCTGTCAGCACCGTTCCTGCATCAGAAAGCCAAGTCGCAGAAATGCATGCTTCAGTCTCTTCACAGGACAGACAGCCGGAATTCACCGCTGTGCTCTCGCCTTGTGTGCGTCGGTGTGAAAGCCCGAGTGATCTGCTGGATGCGCATTGGGCCGTCGACTGGGCTAGGGAGCTGGACCAGCTGGTCGCGAACAAGAAGGATGAAGCCATCTTCCCTGCATGGGCACGGGAATGGGCCGAAGAGCTCGAATCCAAGGCGTGCTTCAGCAAGAGCAACATGAGCAACACCAAAGTGCAAGCGGGGAGTGAGGCAAACCAAGAGTGCACACATGATCGCTCGCGCTCGCCCATGAGAGTGCATGCAGCATTAAGGCCCTGCTGTGCGACTTCTGTGTTCTCATGCACGCCGAAGCCGTCTACAGCTCCACATCTCCGACGTGACGCTTGCAACCACTCAGCACATGTGGCTAACTTGCAGAGCCTAGTCCAGCTGGGTGCAAAAGAAGCCGCCAAATTCAAGGCAGAAGCTTCTGATGAAGAGGAGTTTCACAGATTCATCTCTGATGGTTCACCAGTTCGTGACTTAGACGAGCTTGCCACGTTTCTCATGAGGCTCAATCTGTATGGGCCGCCGCATAACATCAGATTGATCCAGTCGCGTGGGAAGCCTTGTGGTATCTTGGTGCAGCCGAACTGGGGTGGCAGTCTCAGTGCCTATCTGAAATCCGGAAAGATGAACCTTCAGGGTCCCCTTCATGCGCGTATCCGTCTATTGAGCTTGGTCAAACATGCCACCCTGAAAGTTCGCCCAAGTGGCGTGCAAGAAGGGTTGCCTGACCCTGCCTGCATCCGGGCCCGCTTGAACGGCAACTAGCGCACTTGCGCTAGCATGGCGGTTCTATGTCTGACCCGATAATTCGTAATTGAAGCCTCGTGCTTGCTCTGGCATCATGCTGTGCTTTGTGCACACATGCCTCTTTCAACTCGCTGTTTGTCCTTCTGCGCTTGAAAAGGCCTGTGTCTGGCTGCTGCTCCCTCGGTGTGTCTTGCTGTCTTCGTTTTCGTCCTGTCGTTGTTGTGGTTGTCTCTGCCGCTCTGCTCGTTGGCGTCGTGTCGTCGTCGTCGTTGTGGTTGTGGTTGTGGTTGTGGTGGTGGTGGTGGTGGTGGTGGTGGTTGTGGTTGTGGTTGTGGTTGTGGTTGCTGCTGCTGCTGCTGCTGTTGTTGTTGTTGTCGTTGTTGTCGTTGTTGTTGTTGTTGGTGGTGGTGGTGTTGCTGCTGCTGCTGCTGTTGTTGTTGTTGTGGTTGTTGTGGTTGTTGTGGTTGTTGTGGTTGTTGTGGTTGTTGTGGTTGTGGTTGCTGCTGCTGCTGCTGCTGCTGGTGTTGTTGTTGTTGTTGTTTGCGGTGGTGG